TCCTCGAATGTACACAGTTACAGACCTTTTGATCTTGGATTTTTAAAATATTGTCTGTGATCCCTGATCTTTAATAAATGAATATCATTGTTTAAACTGCCCTTGTCTTTCTCTTTCACTTTAAATTATGAATCATCCCAAGGCAGTCACAGCATTCAGGGGAGCGCTGTTATTCGTACTCCTCCAGGGCCCGGGCCCAGCAGCATCCTCTACTGGCTGTTTCTCAGAAAGTTTGGAACATGCATTCAAGACTTACTCTTCCCCTCCGTCAGCCTGATGGGGAACCGCTAAAATCAGGAGCCTCTGTTAAAAGTACACAGAGGGCCCTGGGCTCAAACTTAACTGCATTAAGCATATGTGTACCTATTTAATTGTCACACATGTCTTCCCTACTATGCTGTCAACTCCCAGGAGAGCAAGGATTACATCTGTCGTCTTCCTAGATGTATCCTAGTACCAAACAACATGCATGGTACAAGATTATCATTATGTACCAATGAGTCAGTTCTGACTCATAACCATCCTATATAGGTAGGGTCTGAGGGAGTGGCTGGTAGGTTTGAACTGCTGACCTTGCGGTTAACTATCCAGTGCTGCATCTACAGTGCCACAGCCGGGCTCTGGTTCAAAATAGGAGCTCAATAAAAACTAGAAGCAGGAGTTGGTGAAGGAGGGAGTGAAATGAGAGAGCAAACGTAAGGATGGGGGTTGAAGCAGAACTCCCTCCCTTTAACATTGTGGCTCAGGCCTGCAGAGGGGACCAGGCCTGAGGAAGCAGAGCAGCTAGGATTCTCAGTTGTAGTTAGGATGTATGACAGTGAGTCCAAAAGTCTTGCTACTAGGGTTCCAGTTCACACTTTTACAGACATTTTCCAAACAAAATGTGTTTAAACCTGTCTGGTCAGTAGGTGGCTCCAGGTGAGTTTGCATTGTCTCGTTAGGATGGCTTTCAAAGAAAAGGTTTAGTCAAAACTGACTTCCAGAAGGATCTGGTGGACCAGTTAAGTGCAAGACATAAAAGTTAGCTTAGAAGGTTCTGGAGTGTGTCTTTTGAGATCCCAAAAGGATAATCTTGGTATATTTTCTTAAAGAATACAGGAAGGAGTTTTAGGAAAATGAAGAACTACATTCACGAGAAAAAGACTAGGGAAATTGTACCAAGGACTATTTTTTGTGCTGTCAGAACAACATTCCTGCCCATTCTTGGAGAGCAGCAAGAGCTGCCCTGCAAGACTTTCATTGGGAAACCTTACCCCATCCACCCCACAGTCCTGCTCTTCTTCTTCCCCAAACTCAAAGAGCATTGGAAAGGAACACGATTGATTTGCATTCCTCTAGGATGCCAAAGGAGTCCTGGTGTGGCATCGTGGGTTAATGCACCAGACTGCAAAGCCGTTTGAACTGCAAGGTCGGCGGTTCAAGCTCACCAGCTGCTTCTCAGAAACCCTGTACAGGGTCTCCATGGGTTGGAACTGACTCGAAGGCACCTAACAACAAACAACAGGATGCCAAAACTCCTTTGTGACCTGGTGTATGTACGAAAGTGCAGAATTCTTCAGGGAAGAATTAGATGGAAACACCACCTCCAGGAGTAAATAGCCCTAGATGGAGGGTAGATCAGGAAACAACAGCTTCCCATTTTGGTATTGTTTATACGTATTTGCATTTTAATAAGCACCTCTGGTCGTTCTAATGCAGATGGCCCCATACAGATCTCTCTGGAGATGGAGGACAACCAATAGATGGACGTTAAATTGAAACTTTCCTAGAGAGGAGCTTGGACTGAACAGCAAGAAGACTCAGTCCCCTCCGCCACAGTCCTATATTGTTAAGTGCTATAGAGTCAGTTCCAACTCATAGTGACCCTATAGAGGGTTTCTGAAGAGCAGTTAGTGGGTTTGAACCCCTGACCTTGCAGTTCACAGTCCAGTGCTTATCCTACAGCACCATACCAAGACTCCTGGTGGTGATGGTGATGGATGTGTGCTATCTAGTCAATTCCATGTCAGTGACCCTGCGTTGGATTTCTGAGGAGTGGCTGGTGGGTTTGAACCACCGACCTTCTGGTTAGCAGTACAGTACTCATCCTATAGAGCCATACCAGGGTCCTGTAAGTGATGGGAAAGTAAATACAGGAAGTGTACTTCTCTGTTTCTCAGCTGAGTCACACTGGATTGTACAGTCTGGAGGGACGGTGGCCCCATTGTACAAGACGGAAGGGACCTTCGAATCCTGCTTGTATGTATTAGCATAAGACAAAGAGACGCAGGTCCTGGAACCTAGTCCTAGGTCTGGGGCTCTCAGCTTTGAACCATGGAAACGGGGCAGGGCTCTGAGACTAAGACTGAAGCTATTTTCCCATGAGATTATTTCACAAGACCAAAACACCAACACAATGGCTGCAGGGCCAGGAGCCAAGATTTAACAACAGAATTTGAGCAAAGAGCCATCTCCTGTCTTTGTACAAGGAAGAAGTATGGCTAAAAGCAACAAGGAAGAAAGTAAAAGCAGCCCACATCAGCCCCTTGAGCCCACGTACCAGGGAATGGATCGAGAACCTTGTGCCCACATAGGACCTGTTGTCATAGCTATGGTGAGACAGCCCTGTCACGAGGCTTTGCAGCTCTGGACATCACCAGGAGCCTCAGCAGAAGAGGTCAGAGTGTGCACAGGAAGTGAAAGATAAAGACTTGATGTCAGGGGTTCTTCAAGCCTGTGAGACGTGAACGTTAACATGATCTCACTTACTGCTGCTTAAACGAGAACTGTGGGTGAAAAGTGGCAGAATGCAGCTGTTACGTCAACCAGAAAGAAAACCTTGGCCTTAATTGGTGCAATAGCTGTAAAGTGGATGTTAGGAAGTGCCGTTGAGTGGATCCCTACTCACAACGACCCTGTATAGGATTTTTGGGTAATAACTGGTGAGTTTGAACTGCCAACCTTGTAGTTAACAGTCGGTTGCTTATCCTACAGTGCCACACCAGGACTTATGCAAACTGGCTAGACCCAGGGAATTAAATGATGCCATTGTACCACTGTCTCTGTTTGCATCTCCTGTTTGTCTATATTCTTCAGTCTCCCTCCATGTGGCTCGGAAAACGCCCACCAGTGGCCCTATGAATATGGATTCCGTCGTAGTTGGATGCGGTGTTCTGTTAGGACAAGTTTGTTAATCATGTTGTTTAGACCTATATTCTTACTAAGTTATAGTTTGTTTGCTCTATCAGCTATTTTGAGATGAGTGTTCTCCAATATGATTGTGTTTTCTTTAATTTTGTGAGATTTTGCTATATGCGCTGTGAAGCTATGTTATTGGGTACACACGACCTTAGGATTGTTGTATCATCCAAGTAGATTGACCCATTCCCATTTTAAAATTCTTCGTCCCTTAGAGTCTGCTTTTTTTTCAATTTCAAATACAAAGTTTATTTCTCGACATAAGCTCCATCAAGTTCAAGACATTTTTATAAGTAGTGTAACCAGTCATTAAGTCCATTCCCAAATAATTGAGGGTCCTGGGAATTTACCCAAGTCAATACAGTTTTGGTTTTTTTACATTATTGTTTTTGTTAGGGGCTGTCAAGTTAGTCCTGACTCACAGTGACCTTAAATACAACAGAAGCAAACATTGTTGGATACTGTTCCAACCTCACAATTACTATTATGTTTGAATCCATTGTTGATGCTACTGAGCATGCTCAGGTTCCTCATGAGCATAACAAAGAGTTCTGGAATACCCATTCTTCTAAATGTAATCTATACTTTGCTATGATCCATGCAGTAGAAAACATTTGCATAATCAATAAAGCACAAGTAAACTTGTTTCCGGTATTCTCTGTTTCAGCCAAGATCCATCTGATGTCAGCAGTACTATCCCTCATTCCATGTCCTCTTCTGAATCTAACTTGAATTTCTGGCAGCTCCCTGTCCATGTACTGCAGCAGCCGTTTTCATATTATCTGCAGCAAAATTGTGCATGCATATAATATTAATGATATTGCTGGATGATTTCTTCATTCTGTTGTGCCATCTTCCTTTGAAATGAACACAAATATGGGTTTCTTCTAGTCAGTTGGCTAAGTAGCTGTCTTCCAAATTTTTTGGCATAGACAAGTGAGTATCTATAGAACTGCATCGGTTTGTTGAAACATTTCCATTTGTATTCTGTCAATTCCTTGGGCTTTTGTAAATGCCTTCAGTGAAGCTTGGCCTTCTTCCTTTAATACCATAGATTCTTGCTCATATGATACCTCTTGAAATGACTGAGCATCATCCAATTCTTTTTGGTAGAGTTATTCAGTGTATTCTTTCCTTCTTTTGATGCTTCCTGCATCTGTCAATATTTTGCCTATGGAGTCCGTCAATATTGCAACTCAAAGCTGGAATTTTTCTTCAATTCTTTCAGCTTGAGAAATGCTAAGCTTGTTCTTCAATTTTGGTTTTCTAGCTCCGGGTTTTTGTACATTCCTTTATAATACTGTGCTTTGTCTTCTTGAGCTGCCCTTTGAAATTTTTGTTCAGCTACATCTTCATTTATTCTAGTCAGGTGGGATATACTCAGTCATATTTTGGTTCGTGTGGATTTGTTTTAATTTTCTTCCTCTCCAGCCTGAACTTGCATATAAGAAATTGATGATCTGTTCCATATTTAGCCCTTGGCCTTGTTTTGGCTGATGATATTGGGTTTCTCCATCATCTCTTTCCACAGATGAAGACATTTTAATTCATGTGTATTCCATTTGGTGAGGTCCATGTGTATAGTTGCCATTTATGTTGTTGAAAAATGG